GGGAGAAGACCAGACGTACTAAAGGGGCCATCAGTGGGCTCGGTGGACAGCAGGGTACAGGGGTCAATGTGGGAAGGACCAAGCTGAGACAAGGTATCGAGCTTACCCAGAAAGCTTTCTGCCAATGCAGTTTCCTGACGCTAGGCCCATGTTTTTTATTTTTCTCTCATTCCTCTCCTAATAGGAACCAAACCCCTGGCACAACCGGCTGGAGGCTGCAGAGACCACAAAAACAGGGAAGAGACATAGCTTTTATCTCTTCCTTTCCCAGAGGACACACTTACACTCCTTCCTGGTCCCAGCCCAGTAGAATAATGCCAGTGGGATGTGCGGGCCTCGATGAGGGCACTGACATAATGGCTCCGCTCCTAAGAAAATTTTCTTTGTCCTATGCCTTCTGGCTGCTTAAATCATTCAATTGCCTGAGAATCCAGGCCATGAAAGTATTCTCTGTGGTATACTCAAGCTGCAAGATATTAGTAGCAGATAGACTTTCACAGTTTTTAAGGAAAATCAATTAGAAAGCTAACAAAAGAGCTTGTTGAACGAGGTTTAGTAGTTTTTTTTTCAAATTTAAGCTGGGATAATCTGTCTATAATGTCACATTGGTAGTTTACTCACCCAGCAATTCAACAAATGTGTATCGAGGACCAAGCTTGGTGTTTGGAGTTGGGTAGAAAATGTTAAATGAATCAGACATGTTCCTGCCCACATGGAGGTTATAGTTTAGGGCAGGGCAAACTGTAGCCCTGATGCCAAATCTGGCCCTCTGCCTGTTTTTGTAAATAAAGTTTTATTGGAACACAGCCATGGACATTTGTTTACAAATTATCTCACTGCTCTCCGACTATGGTGGCAGAATTGAGGAATTGAGCGGTTGCAACGGAGATTGTATGGTCTGCGAAACCTAAAATCTTTATTACTAGGCCCTTTAACAGGAGCAGTTTGCCAACCCCTAGTCTAGTGGATAGTTTCCCATTTCAAGGATCCACTTGTTTTTTATAAGCTGACTTAGATGAGGGTTTTTGGTTGAAAGGAGAGAATCTACTTAAATGGGCTCAAGGAGAAAGGAGAATTATGATAAAGTATTTCTCCATGGAATCCATGGACAGGAAATTAAATACAGGCATTACTCCTATAGCATGAGCTTTTACCATATAAAATGGCCATAACTCAAGTTTTGTAATTAAAGAACATAATCTGCATTACTAAGAATACCATTGCTTACAACAACATCTCGACCAGAAACTAATAACATATTCAGGAACTAGCACTAATATAAGAAAACCTGTTGCCCAAGTAACACAGAGCTTTGTTTGGGTAGTTTTGACTTTGTTTATCCTAACAATAGGTGATAACAATGGTAAAGGAGATAAGGATATATCAAATGTCCCCTACTGGTAATAAGAAAAGAATGGATAAGATTTTTAGGCAAAAGCTAAAAGACACCAAATGCTGGATTTGACCCGTGATGTTTAGATTTTACTCTTACAGCCATAAAAAGCATCCTTTTATTAAAATTACTGCAGGAAAAATAACTTCTTTTGGGGAAAATCTGAAACTCTCCAGCCCCCATCCATTCTCCCTCCTTAATACAATGATTTTTAAAAAGCAGTCTTTAAAAATGAGGTTTCTGAGGAATGCAGAATTGACCATCCAGTCAGACCTACGAGAAGTGGAACTGGGTCAGGATCTGAGGTCATTCTCAATGCTTCCCCAGAAGTACATGGCCCCTTGGGCTTCCTCCTCTGCTCTTCTCTGCTTCCTCTCTCGCCTGGCTTCTTCTGTCCTGAACAACCTGGACTGTGGGCCCAAGCCTGCATGTCTCCAGAGCCTGCCATTACCGGGAAACAGTTTTAGAAACCCTTAGTATAAATTCTTAAGAATCTGACTGGCTTAACTCAGTTTATAGTTGGATCGTTTTAGCAGAGCCTGCTAAAACCTTAACCTTTACATTGTCACCAAGCCAAAAGACTGCACTTCCAGCTTCCCTTGAATCTCAGCGTAGGCCTGAAGCTAAATCCTATGCAATGAGATAGAAGCAAAAGTGTTGCCTGGGTCTTCTGGGACGTTCCCTTGGGGTTAGATGTGATGACGTGATGGCTAAGAGCCCAAGAGCCACACCCTTGAGGTAGCAGAGTGTGAGCTGGAAGAGCTTGGGGTACTGACTAAAGTCCCCACACCAGCCCTGGAATGCCTACATCCAAGCTTCTTTTATGTGAGAGAGAAATGCATGCCCATCTTGTTTAAGCAACTATTTGGGGGAGTTTCTGTTACTTGCAGCTGAACCCAAACTAACTGATCGTTTCCTCTGATCCAAAAAGCTGTGACCAGAGAGGCAGGGCATGGGGGATACTGCCCAGATAGTGAACCCCCAGATCTGAGCAGATTTCCCAGGGAAGTGGGCTTGGGCAGAGCAGGCAAACGATTTGGAGTATTTCCAACACTGGCTGAGGTCGGTTACCAGACCACTTGGGTTTGTAAGGAAGGGAAATACTAGGATACATATAAAATTGGAGGGTAGGCTGATATCCTAGAATTTGCACCAAGGTAAAAATTATAATTCAAGGGAAACAGGCTCTGAGTGGTGGAATTATGGGTAGCGTCGCTGCAGGCCAGCGGGTGCCCTGAGCAGATGGAAGTCAATTGTTCTGCTAATAATTGAAGAAACGTTGGTTACATTCTTTCAGAGATCTGGTTAACTCATTCCCTTTGGTCACTTAGGGCTGTCATTTATAGGTAGCAAAGTCACTTAGGATAATAAAGCCCCCAGGCCTGGTAGCAAACTGCTGAGATTTTTCAAGAAGAAAGAGACCACTTAAACATCTCATTGGTTTTTCCGGACTGAATGATACCCAGAGGAAACAGGTTTCAAATGTGTCTCCATCATTCACACCCTCAAGAAGAAAGATGAGAGGAACCAAGCAAAAACACTAAAAGTGCTACATTCATTTCAAATATCTGACAAGTGAGGAGAGTTCTGGAACAGGTTTCCCTGCAGAACTCACTACAACTCCCAGAGGACACAGGTCCCACCATTATTTTCCTCCTTTTCTCTAAGAGCTCTTAATGGATTGAGAAAAAATTAGTTCAAATATCTGTTGGTTTGAATGCATCTATTCAATAAAAAGAAGAATAGATGTCACTGCTAAAAATAGCCTTTCTTGTATACAAGCATGTCCTACTGGGCTATGGTCTTTCTGTTTAACTTCTTCCTAAGCGAAGAAAAGCCTAAAAGTACGTCCATCACCTCTGCTTGCTGAAGAAGCACCTAACTTGCAGTGCCCATTCCCTCAAAGCCGCCGGGGCCTGCTGGGTCACAGGCACAGCCGGTCCGAGCTCACCACAAAAGTCAGACACTTGAAAGCAGAGATTTAAGAAGGAAATGGGTTGTTCTCCATGTTCAGAAAAAAAATTTAAGTGGTCTGTAATAGAAAATGGGGGGCGGGGGGGGGGAGTACTCCGTTCTCTGGCCTTAGCACAGATCACCAAAGAAGACAACAACTTACAGAAACAGGAAATCCTTGTGGAAATGAAGACCCTCAAAATGAGAAAACAACAACAATTGATCCAGACTTTGCTCTAGCAAGGGAGTCGGCCACCGTGGCTCCAAGGCGGGCAGAAGAGTGGGGAAGGTTTAGAGTAGCAAACAAGAGAAGACTTTATGCTCTGAGTGGGGTTTGTCTTTCTGTTGGCATGAGGAAGCTGTAAGCGAGCTAACTAGAAGCGGGGCATGCCGGGTGACTGGTTAGGGGTGCATGTAGGCTTTCTGTAGTTGCTCCCAAGTTGACCAGGGGCCAAAAAATTAGGGCAGCTGTCAGTTATTAATCAAGTCCTGGCCATATGGGGCCGATTGTTTCAGAAACGACTGTTCAGCTCTCTGGATTGTTACTAGAGATAGCAGTCTGGCCTCCTGCACGTCTGACAGAGAGCAGGCAGGCTTCCTGGGTGGCTTGTTGTAGATGAGAGTGTTGGTTTCCTGAGCTGGTTGCTATAGTTTGTGGGTCAGAGTTCTATGTTTATATATGGTCTGGCCATCATCCGTTTGTTCAGTTTCTCATCTTTCGGACAAAGACCGCTGAGTCTAGGCAGCTGACCCAGAGCCAGCAAGGTAATTCCCAGCATTTCTAGGGAGCCACTTTGGGACATAGCCAATTCCATAGGCCGCCTTGCCCAGAAGTGCCTACACACCACTTACGAGAGCACATCCCTCCTAACCCCATGCGGCATGATGACGAAGGAGGAAGGGAGGGGTCGTGGTTATGGGAGCTCTGGAGTCCTAGGAGGAGAGGAGGGACGAGTGCTCCGTAGTTCTCAGCTGCCTGCAGCTGTAGGTTAGAACTCTGTGGGCAGGTTTGAGCAAATACTGATGCAGGGGTCCCATACCACCTGCCAAAGAGTCTAAGTTAATATAGCACGCTGGAAATCGGTATTTTTTCAAAACTTCCTAGGTGATTCTAGTTGATTCTAGCGTGCAGCCCACGTTGGCAGCTGCTGACCAAAATGAATAAACTTTTAAGAGACACGGGGAGCAAATATTTAGCAATTAGTGAACATGGAATCAGGGCATGGAAAGCCTTCAATCTTTCAGTCGGACTAGAAAAATAAAAGCAGACTGACCTAGAGTAGCAAATAGACAGCAGCATGGAATGTGAGCCTACGTACCTGAAATGGAAATGCTGCAGGATCTAAACCATGGGCATAAGGAGCAAATGAGTACACTTCAAACCATCGTAAACACAACTGAACCATACCTACTTTGAGCGGCCGTCTGGATCTTCATTTTAACCATGAAATGTTTTATTCCTTCTCTTTAAAATGCCATTTTATCATGACTTAGTATTTCTCACAGAATGCAACGAGTACACACACGCATGTACGTGTGTGGTCAGCCTAAGTTTGCATGTTTCTCAAATACTTTACACAGAACAATTACGATCGTGGCATATAAACTCCAAAACCTGAAAAGAATCACACAGTCACTCCACACAGCTGGTATCCATTTTTTTATTTTAGTCATTTCTCGATTTTCAGAGTTCCCAGTTTATCTAAATTTGATACAATACCACCCCCTGGTGGGAACCTATGGGGAAGAAGCACACTGGAGGCTTTCTAACACTACAAGGAAAGATTAAGATCATCTAGTACGCTGGTTTTCTCTCTCTCCGTCTGTCTCTCTCATTCCCTTCTCTCTCTCCTTCTCTCTCCCTCACTCCCTCTTCCAGCCGAATGTTCTCTTTAAAAAAAAAATCATATGCAAAAGCTCAGTGAACAAAACAGTAAAATGGAGTTATGCTGGGGGCTTTCTCTTTCCCACCTTCTCTTTGCCAACCTCACCCCCCACACACACAACCCCGGATGTCCAAAATAGAACTTTTATCACTAAACACCAGCCATCTCCTGCCAAAATTAAAATTAAAATTACATCTATTTCTCTAAAGAGTCCTTACCTTAGTGACTAGCACCTCCTTTACCATTCATTAAAGCCAAAACCCTCCTGAGCATTCACAATACATATGAACAGATTAACTCTGAGCAGACCTGAGTCAAGAAACCAGGTTAGATTAATTTATTTCAGCAATTCCCAAACTTATTTTATCATGACACATTTCCCCTCCTTCCCAGGAGTTTTTGTTTTTTGTTTTTTACAACTTGCAGAAAACTCTTTGGATATATTTCATTCACAATGATTGTTCCATCCTAATCAGCAAATTAGCTCTTTGGCTGCACCTGCTACTCAATCTTCAAAAATGCTTGGGCAAAGTCAACCACGCAACAAGCGAGAGTGCTCAGTCATTTGTAGTAAGGGAAAGTACCACCCGTAGGTGACTGACTCCAGACAGCTATTGAGCTGATGCCATGTTCATAGGTAACTTCATCCCTGTCTTCTAACCATCATGACCAGCTGAGGGGAGGAAGAGGTTGCCACAAGTACTAGGAGGAACCATGCTTTGTCTTCTGTTAAATGTAATAAGCCTGTGTTGCATGATCACCGTGTATTTTATTTAGAGGGACTATAATGCTCACTTGAATGCAACCCACAAACATCATGGGCGTCTCTGCAACTGACAGTGAGTTAAGTGTTTTCCATACATTATCTCTTGCAGTGGATTTATTAGCCAAAAGATGTCAAAATCCCTACAGTTTCCAGCATCCTTGTAAATAAGCACAGAGCTTTGAACACCGGATCTAAGAGAAATCTTATTCTATAACAAGTATTTTTAACAAAAATAGAGTTTTATGCCCTATGTCATTAGTAGTAGACTTAAGCCTAATTCTACACTGGTACTAGATTAGGTTAGTACTAGTCCTAAGGCTACTAAGGATTCATATTGCATCATTTCTAATTTTGAAAACAAACATATGTCTAATTAAACTTTCATGCAATGGAAAAGTTATTGGAATCAGTTCTGGTGCTTAGATTATATTTTGATCGATAGTCTCCGGGGCCATTTGCTGTCACTTCATGTCACCTACAGCTTTGACTTGGAAGTGGGGGTCCTGAGGGCTCGGACACACTCACCTACCAGGCTGGCGGCCTCCAGAGCAGTGCCCCAGTGCACAGAGATGCCCCCGCTCCCGTGGCCATAGTGGTGGACCACGGGCAGCCTCCTACCGTCCTGGGCTAGGAGCTCTGTCTGCAGCCGCAAGCCTGGCCTGAAGGGCCTTAAGCCCACCTTCTCCCTGATGTCGCAGGCTCCATGGAGGGAGGGCTCAAGAGCACAACAACGGGAAAAAATATCTCTGCTAATTTCTGCATCTGGAGACAGATTCCAGTCTCCTTCTTGCCTTGTTCCACCCAGGATTACGTTGGATATGCCGGGATAAATATATGTCAGCCCACTCCCATCTCGGATAAAATGCTTCACCCAGGGAGCCTGAACTCTGAGCACTTGGCCCCGCACAGGGAATATCTTTGAGTCTCCTGCAAGCTGTCTGCTTCCAAGGCCTGAGCAGTTGACCACGATGTCGAAGGATGGATGAAGCTCCCACAGGTCTCCTATTCGTCGGGTGAGTATCAGGACCCCACTTCCTTTTAACCTGGGAAGAACGAGAGAGACCATTAAGTGAACCTCAGCAGCTTCCTGCGCAAACCCTCACAGGAAATGATGGGCAAGGCCACCACATCCAGGGCCCAAGGAGGTCAAATTCTTAGCCACCGACTGCCTCGCATCCTTGGAAACTGGGGATTCCTAAACTGGAACCTAAATGAAAACCTGTTTCAAAAATTCAAAACAAATGTCTTGTCCTTTTCATGTTTTACAAAGTTCCTGTATCACACTAGCTGCTAAATGAGTACTAAATCAATCCGTATTTTAAATCCCCTAGCCTTTCTTTTTATGCCATTTATTTAGCACCTAAATTTGCAGCCTTAGGCATTTTGTCTCATATTCTTAACTCTTGGATGTTCCTTTTCTTTATTCTGGTCTCCCTAACTAGATGTTTGGAACAGGGGTCACACCCCCCACTTTATGTCTACCACAGGAATGTTAGCACGAGACGAATGCAGAATATTTGCAGCTGATGGACTGACAGTTGTGGTTGATAACGATATTTTGGACCAAGTATATCCATAACAAAAAGAAATGGCTTGGGGCACCTGGGTGGCTCAGTAGGTTGGGCGTGGGACTCCTGGTTTCCACTGGGGTCATGATCTCGAGGTCCTGGGATCAAGCCCCGCATGGTTGGGTTCCCGGCTCGGTGGGGAGTCTGCTTGCCTCCCTCTCCCTTTGCCCCTTCCCCACTCTTTCTCATGCAGGCGGACTTTCTCTCTCTAAAATAAATAAATAAATCTTTTTTTTTTTTTAAGGAAATGGCTTATCTAGGTCCTGTAAATCTTTTTTTTTTTAATTGTGGTAAAATACACAGAACATAAAATTCACTCTCTTAACCATTTTTAGGTGTACAGTTCAACAGCATTAGTTTTAATACAATCACCTATGAATTTTGTGGTGATACTGACCAACATATTGCAGTGTGTTAATATTCCTTAAAATAGTGAATGTAAAGAAAAGATGTTTAAAAAGAGTTTAGGAGGGCTCTTCCCTTTACCAATCAGAAGACCTTGGTCAAGTTATTTAATTTCTGTGAACTTTAATCCTCCATCCATAATTTGGAGATACCAGTACTGACTTCATAGGCTCCTTGTGAAAATGAAATGAGACAGCATCTGGAAAAAGTTTGACACAGCACATAGCACATTGTAGTTCCTCAGTATTTTTTTTAATGGGGGAGCAGTGTGGGAAAAGGTATAGTTGCTATGCTACTATAAAATCCAAAAGGCGTTTGCCTGCTCCCCACACCCATCTATCACTTACATTCAGTGGTTTAATAGAATGACGTTTGGACTTCAAAAAATGTTTTACATTGATTATTATTTGAACATTATCTTGGTTTTCCTTTTAATAGATTGTGGATTCCACGTGTCGATAGTTAACCGTTGTGCTCTGTGTTCCAACTATTCTAATTAAAACTCAGAATTATTCTCCTAATTCAGAGAAATAAAGGAATTTTACCAGCCTGGGGACTTGACCCAACTGAGCTTGTTTCCTCAACTATTACCTAAGGATAAGAATGTTGAGTCCACAGGGTTTTTATAAATATTATGTATAAATTCAACAAGCGCAAATGTCCTCTTCTTCCATTTCAAGGGTCCCCCACCGGTTGCTACTAATGAAAGCCCACTCTCTTCCTGGAGACTTCTGAAATTATCATAGCGATTGGAAGGCCCCCGCAGGCTTGCGGTGCTGAGTGCCTCCCTGGCCTTGACCCCAGGAGGGAACTTACTGAATGTGCCAGGGCCCCATCATCCTTGTACTGTTGCGATACAACCGCGTGGTGATGCCCAGTCACTCTTGTCATCCCACGGGCAACGCATCAGGGGGCACCAGGGTGTAGGAGGAAACCATACCTGGAAGCTGTACGTTGGGTGACCAAGCACTTTTACAACCATACAAGGTAGTTATTTTCTTCGGGGGTTTTGGATGACATGGTTGGGGGTATAAGCTTGGAGACTTTCCCCGTAGGGTTTCCTGCAACTGAGCAAGACCTCATTCTAGATAGGGAGAATGCCTTGTCCCAACCTCCCATGAGGAAATGTGGAGATGGGGGACTCAAGAAGTTGTGCTCACTAAATAGCACCAGACCAATGTCTCCTGGTCATCATGCTAAAACCCAAGGGTGCCCATTTTCACCAAACCTAAAAGTCAGCCCTCTGCAGGACCACGTCAGCCTGAAGCATAAAGTGTGTGTGGGGGGGCGGGGTTCAGCAAGAAGGAAATTGAGCACGTGTGGCCCTGAGAGGGATGGGGCTCCACTAAGCACTTCTTTACACACACACACACACACACACACACACACACACACCCCACATCCCAGAAGCAAAGGGGAGTCTCCTCATCCTGTCTCTTCTCATGGGACTAGAGGCATCCTTGCACCCCACCTCCCATCACCTGCCGCAGCCTAAGCCATGTAAGAGAGGAATCCTGGGCAGCATGAAATAGGGAGGTGAGTGGGGCGCCTGGGTGGCTCAGTCCATTGGGCGTCTGCCTTCGGCTCAGGTCATGATCCCAGGGTCCTGGGATCAAGCCCCGCATCGGGCTCCTGCCCAGTGGAGAGCCTGCTTCTCCCTCTCCCTCTGCCTGCCACTCCCCCTGCTTGTGTGCTCTCTCTCTTTCTGCCAAATAAATAAATAAAATCTTTTTTAAAAAGAGTAAAAAAAAAAAGAAAGAAATAGGGAGGTGGGGGTTCAGTGTGGAGACCCACTGGGGGAGAGGGGTCACGGGGGGAAGGCAAGGCCCTGTGAGCTCTAGTACGAGGGATGAGGCTGCTTTGACCACAGCGCTTGGCCTCTGGGTTCAGGAGGGAGGAACCGGGAGCGGGAGGTCAGGGCAGGATGTGGGGTGCAGCCCAGCAGGGACAGAATAGGGGGTGCAGCGGAGCCAAGGTACTGCCCTGGAAGCCGTGTGTGCCTGGAATTCACCTGCTGAGACTTAGACCCAAAATTGTCTGAGGAGCCTAATGAGTAGAAACTGGGGGAAAACATCGTTTTTGTCATATAAAATGTTAAAGCACTTTCATCTGGCCAAATACAGCCATTTTAACACTCCTCTGGTAACATTTTAATAGCTTGTACCTTTATTCTGGAAAGATGATCCAAATAGGCCTGTGGATTATACAAATACAAAGTAAAAACTCTTCTAAGGATTCAAGATGGCTTCGGGGTGAGAGGGTACATGACTGTCTGCATGAAGGTCAGGACGCTTCTCTGCAAACCAGATTGCTTCTGGAAAATTGGTGCCCACCAAGGAGGGTAGAGAGAAGAGGGGATGGCGTGGTGTGTGTTCCCCAGCTGACTCCTCACGCTGGCTAGAACTTGCTCGTTAGGGGACGAGGGCCAGAGCCTGAGGGGCCTGATGTGAAGAGAATTGGTGAGAGTCAGGCCTGAGCAGCGGAACCCCAGGTGTCAGAGCTGGAAAGAGGACAGTTCTCCCCACTGCTGCTATAGTTTCAAGTGCGTTGGAATGAGGAAAACAGCATTGAGTTTTTGAGCCACTGATGAGAGAAAGAGTGAAGAGCTAGGAGGCCATTGCTAGAGATGGAGAGAGAGGCAAGGAGGCTGGGCAAGCACAGTGACCAAGAACCTGGTGGGGGGGGAGGGTGTAGGCCTGGCTTTGGGAAGCATTTTGTGATGTCTTATGTATGCGTTATTAGACATAGTCAGCTAAAAAAATTAATCCTTGCTTCAAGCCTGAAGCATGACACCTTATAACAGTGATCAAAAAATTAACTGTGTCCAGTCTATTTGAAAATGAGATTAAAAGGAAACCTAATTTAAAAGCTCACTTGGCAAATAGTACTATGCACACAGATTCATAGAAGAAGTCCACTGTTTCCTCAAAAAGTTAAAAATAGAACTATCCTACGACCCAGCAATACCTTTGGATAGGTATTTATCCAAAGGATACAAATATACTAATTCGAAGGGGTACATGCACCCCGAAGTTTATAGCAGCATTATCAACAATAGCCAAACTAGGGAAAGAGCCCAAATGTCCAACAACTGATGAATAGATAAAGAAGAGGTACTGTGTGTACACACACACACACACACACACACACACACACACACACACAGGACTATTACTCAGCCATTAAAAAGAATGAAATCTTGCCATTTGCAATGACGTGGATAGAACTAGAGGGTATTATGCTAAGTGAAATATGTCACTCAGAGAAAGACAAATCCATATGATTTCATTCGTATGGAATTTAAGAGACAAAACAGGTGAACACAGGGGAAGGGGGAAAAAGGGAGGGAGGCAAACCGTAAGAGACTATTAACTCTAGAGAACAAACTGAGTGTTGGTGGGGGGGAGGTGAGAGGGGGGATGAGCTAGATGGGTGATGGGTATTAAGGAAGGCACTTGTGATGAGCACTGGGTGTTGCACATACGTGACGAATCACTAAATTGTACTCTTGAAACCAATATTATACTAAATGTAACTAACTAGAATTTAAATAAAAACTTGAGGGATGCCTGGGTGGCCTGTAGATCAGGGAGCCTGCGGCTCAGGGAGCCTGCTTCTCCCTCTGCCTGCAGCTCCCCCTGCTCGCGCGCTCTCTCTCTCTCTAACAAATAAATAAGTAAAATCTTAAAATTCATTAATTAATTAATTTAAAAACTTGAAACAAACAAAAGACTACATCATATAATAAGGAATAAAATAGAGGAAAAAAGAAAAAGGCCACTGTTCCTTCATAGTGACACTTAGTGTAGCTATACCTAAAATAACTTATAATAGTTAGATTTTAAATATACATATATATGCTTACATATATATGCATATTTTACATGTGGTAGGAATGTAAACAATTTGTACTCAGAGGGTCAATGGTGATGTTTTCAAGATATATCCACAAATTCTTTGAACCCTTTAAGGCTGAAGCCTAATTCCCCTCCCTTTGAATGTTGGCTGAACCTAGTCACTTGCTTCTAATGAATATATATAGCATATATACACACACACATATATATACA